CTATAACCATTTTAAACAGCGTATTGTCTTAGTCAGCTAGATTTCCCTTGCCCATTTTCTAAACATCCATTCATTTTGGTTGGGTGTTATTAAATTTGCAAATACGTAATGTCAAATGTGCTTTTTTGTTGGATCTTGTTGAATTTTGGCGCTGCATACTTGAGGGCGCGCCAGAAATGCAGTAAGCAACTGGAAAACGAGCAAAAAGGCAGACATGTTAACATTTTCATGGTTTTTCCACACAATTTGAGAAGGCGCGCACGCTCTCTCTCTCTCTGCCTCTCTGTTTGTAGCTCTATCTCTTTCTCTGTCGCTCGCGCGTTCCCAAGAAAATATTCAAAATGGATTGTATTTGCATTTGACGTAGAGTGGGGTATATTGCCGCATATGAAATCGATATGCAAATGTTGTCGAGTAGTGAAACTGAATAACAGTGCGCGACACAGGGGGTAGGAATGGGTTGGGAGGAAGGAACGTCTCTTGACTTCCTCTGCGATGATGATGCACGTATTGTTTGCTTGTAAACATGATAAAAATTCAAATTAGCCATTATGGCAAGTCAAGTACATATAAATGAGCGAGTGTGAGTGTGTGAGTGTGTTGTCGCGTTGAAATGTAAAATGTGGCTAGAAATTACCGGAAGGCAATTGTGAAGAGGACGAAAAAGAAGAGAAGAAGCCGTCAACGTTTCAGAAACCTTGAGCCAACTTTGTATAAAATGTTTATTTGCATATTTCATTGCCATTTTTACTTGGTTGTGTCGCTTCCTTATTTTTTTAATATTCTACGGAAATCAATGAAATATGTAAGAGAAGAGAGAGGAAGAGCGCTAAAGTTAATAACAAAGGCTAAATTAAAGCAAATGTTGATGACAATCGTTAATGATTGAAATGAGACTAGATTAAGTAGCAGATGTAGATTGAAGACCTGACTTTCTATTTGTATCTAATGATAGATCTCTATTTCTTAATTTCTTAATTGCTGACAGATACAGTGTTATGTATTCATGTTCATTATGAGCTGTGTTGTAAGTAGTTAGTCAATCTAGTTCGCACTCGTGCTGAGTTGAAGCATCTCTAATTGAACTCCACAATATCTGTTTTTTTGTTTATCATATATTGGCAAAACAATTTAGGTACACTAAAAATAAATCTGTATAGCCTAAAAGAATATACATAGTAAATTGGTTCAATAGTATCAACGACCTTCTGATATATTTCTATCAACTTTTGTAAAAAGGCTTTCCAGTCAAGAGATACCCATTTCATCTAATTTTACCCATATAATCCAAAGCTCAGCTGGTTTCTATAATTTAAGCATAGAATAAGAGAGTAAATTTATTTTCCCCTTTTCAATCTTGTCTATTTTGGCTATACTCTCACATTATTATTATTAGATTTCCATCTAAATCTGCAAAAATGTCTTTTACCTATTTAATCTAAGGCAACACCCAAATATATTTCTTAAGCTCCGCTTATATATTATTATATTGATCTGAATCTTTCTTGTGCGCATTCTCGCATTTTGAT